ATAAATAGGTGGCCTTCTGGCCTAACAATTGAATAATAATAATAATAGTAAAAACTCACAGTTTTTGGAGCGCAGACTGGCCAGCTGGTCCTGTGCTAAAATAATATAAAATAATACACGGCAATGACAATAACTTATCAATAATATAATAATATGCTGCCTTTATGGCTTACAATGATAGARTAGGCATACGATATAAAAATGCCCTTGGCGTTTAGCACCGAAATATAATAAAAACTACAGAAGCCCTTCTGGCATTCACATTTATTAAAAAACAATAAAATAATTATAAATTGCACTTATAATAATATTTATTGTACGTGTTGAAACGATCGGAACAACGTATCAGCAAAGACAGACAGTCACGGCGGCCGGGTTAACTACTATTCGCGTAGCCGGTGCGGCGGCATACGATAACGAGCATAATCTACATATAGGCATTATATAACTCACAAAACACATTTAAATAGATATAAAAATAAAATATTATAATGACAACAGGTGATAGTGTGTGTGTGTTTGTGTCCAGCYATCCTCGCTGTCCGATGTTAATTAATTAAATACTATTATGCTATACCTATAATTATGTTGCGGCGGCAACAGCCCTTATATTCTTAACTCGACGCTTTCAACAGTTTCAGCCACGATTATCATTTATCATATGTCATTGATTAGGTACTTTATTACTTTTTTCATTTATTAAACATTAAAATTAAACATTGCGGTCAGCACATGCTCAACCAAGACCACCCACCCCCCTAACATTGGTGGTGCAGTGCACCAAAAATAGTATACTCAAACCGCCTCTGACCCAAGTTATCTATTTAAAAACTAAGCGTGTGATTCTTCTAAAATTTTAACAATTTAAATTGATTGATACTAATATACATGTATATTGTATAGTTATAAAAGCAGTAAAGCAAAAAAGTAAATTACTTTCAACATTATATTTTATTTATTAAAAAATAAATATGTACAAATTTGTTATATCACAATTCTTGTTTATTAATAGACATCACACAAAATATATACAATCTTTTATGTTATATTATGTACAAGGTATGTACAAATTGATCTATAATGTAGCTAATATTCTTGTAAAACCTACAGCTGCTGAGAGTAATGTCTGTCCTACTCCCCAAAACATTGCATACAACGGTTGCATTTGAATACTAGATGCTCGATAGACAAATGCTATGGTAGCACTGCTGACTATGCCTGAACTTAATGGAGCAAATATTCCAACCAATAAAATGAACAATGGAAAAAACCTAAAAAATAAACAAATTAGTAATAAAAATAACATAATAACAAAATAGTAATATGTACTTTATAAAGTTATAACATTTAAATATTATAAAACAAATTTCAGGGCAATAATATTTGACATACACATTAAAACCTCAAAAATATTTCGCTTTTCTTTGGTACCCCTAAAATTTGTGGCACCTTTGGCGCCCTAAAACGCATACTCTTTTCACCATCTTCCTATTAAAATGGCCAAAGTACTTAAATTAAATATCTACTATTAATCCTCCAAGTATGATTCTAACTATAAAACTATTAAGTTACCAATAAAATGTTATATGTATGTAATTGTCTGTACAATATTTAAGACATTAATTTAGACAAATAACTGAAATAACAATAAAAACAAAATATTATCTTACTTTCCAAAACTATGTTTATGGAGTGTAGCGAAAGCAATTATTGCAGCTACAGTATGGACAACAGCAGATGAGAATAACGCCCATAAAAAAGTTTGATACCACATTTCTGAAAATTGTTAATAAAAAATTAACATTGTGTTTTATTAATGAAATTTATATTATTTCTTTATAATTTACCAGGAAATGTACTAAGGGGTCGTTGAGATGTCAAACCAATTACGTTGGAGATCGGAACAAGTTCAGGATTCTTGAAATCGTTGAGTGGCATTATTTTTCAAATACAATCGTTCTTGCAAAGAAAAAAAATGAATTCAAACTATTTTATAGTGTAGGTGGATTAAAAATATAAAGCTGTCATTGAATGTTTGCTGTTGTAATTATACTTCAACACTGGTGTATATATCAGTTGTTAAAACTACAGTTAAATTTCAAAGTTTAATTTAACTTAAAAGTTTAAAATCCAGGGTCATCCCTGGAATCCTTAGATCATATATGATCTAAGCTAGAATCCAGAGTCGTTTTTGTCATGATATCATGATTCATGACTATAGATAATATATTAGCTATATCAAGGTGGATATATATATATATATATATATTTATATCCACCTTGAGCTATATCAGTGGTTATCAAGGTTTTTGTTTCATAATGATAACGATCATATCAAAATCCCAAACGGGATAACCTTACTACTTTATCTATAGTTAAATTACCAACTATATAGTAACTGGTAATTACTAATTAGTAACAACAAATGCCATTACAATTTACAAGTAGTCAGTTCTGTCAATGCCTATTCAGTATTTGCTTTAATACTATATATATATATTAGGACTCTGTACTATAATATTTTGTTATTTGAAAAAATTTGATTGAACTACTTAACCAGATAGACGACAGCATTGTAATTATAACATGGATTCTCAGGACTATTCCGACAGTAGTGATGAAAATGATTCTGACTACAAACCACCAGGTATTAATTAGTAAAATCTTAATGAAATTGCATTTTAGTATTCTAACTAGGTAGTTATTAAAATCGTTATTATTTTATACATAATTAATACGATCACAGTACTTATAATGCTTGATGAAAATAAGTCTTCAAATGTATTGATTATGATGAAGTTTTAAGGACTAATAAACATATTAGGTACAATTTTTTATTATTAAAGTATATAAGTCAGTTTTAAAATCGAAATATTTTTAACTATTTACCAATTTATATTTCTGATTCATAAACATTTAATTTATATTTACCTTTAGGTGAAGATGAAAAATTATCAGAAGTCGATTCAGATGATCCAATTGAAGATGATGAGGATAGTGTCAGTAAATTTGCTAAAAAATCAAAGAGAACTAATAAGAAATCTACAACTAAGAAAGGAAAAAGAAGCTCACTAAAGAAATCAAAAAAAATGTAATACTTAGTGGTTTTTAACTTTTAAATATTATATCATGATTTTTTGTTTACTTTATAGAGTAATTGATGATGAAACAGTTGAAAAAACAAAAGAAGAAGTAGATACTCTTCTCAATTCCTCTGAAGACGATAAAAAGCGTTTAGATGCTTTGTGGGAAGGTATAATTGATTTCATATAAATAAATAGTACTTTTTTAAAATCAATAAATCAATAAATCATTAATTAATTGTTTAAAAATTATGATTTATAAAATATAAGGTATAAAAGTAAAATATTTGAACTAATTTTTATTTTATTTTTAGAATTTCAACGACCTATTCCAAAGAAATCTTCTAATACACCTTTAACCAGTGAAAATAAATCTAAATCAAAAGAATCCATAGTAAATTCTAACAAACCAGAAACAACCAAAAAAAGGAACTTTGAAGCATTATTTGACAGTTCGGACTCATCTACAAAGTAAATACAATACTATATTTTTTTTAATTCAAATTTTTAAATAAATTTAATTATTGTAACTCTTTATAAGTAATATTTAAAAAAATTATCTGTATCTACTATTTTTAATTTTTTATAATACATATACAATTTACACAAATTTCACAAGTACATGTTTGTACATTCACTACATTAATTTTTAATGTATTATAAAATTAAAAGTAGACTTACCATATAAAAAAATATAAATAAAACAACAATCATACCATAGATAATTTAATATTTAAAAAATATTTAAGAATTTATGATTTGGATAACACAATCAAAAAATGCCACTTGGCACATGACGGCCAATACTTATTTTTATTACCCCTAACTCTATAGTTAAAATTTAGCTTTCAAATCAAGAATTTTGTTGTATTATTCTTTTCACATATTTGATAGTATACCAAAATATAACATTGTATTATTATGTATAATATATATAAAAAAAAATTTGTCAAATACTGTTAGGTACAATGTTCTAATCTAGAGGTATTTAGTTGTGTAGTGCGGCTCTAAAGAGCATCACGAGTATGGATAGATAGATATTGATTAATGATATAGATCAGATGGGATTAGAGTATTAGGGGACTGGATAACTTTAAGCATCACTATTGCTGGAAAAAATTATACCAAGACTTAGACCTATTTTTTAAATTAATAGAAAATGTAAAATAAAATTATATCATTTTAATTAAACCAAAATACATTTATGAAAAATCTAAAAGCATTTATCAGTTACCAAAAAAAAACTCAATTTATGTTAATATGATTATTTTGTTTAAATGTCTTTGTTTTTTAGAGTAGAGAATAATGATGACAATACAACTACACCTAAGTTTCCAGGACCTAAAAGTGCAGTAGCTCCTATTGCTACTAAACCATCAGGTGGTTTAGCAAGTGTATTAAGTCAAATAGGAAAAAAAAGTAAATTGACAGTTTTAGAGAAATCCAAACAAGATTGGGATGGTTACAAAAAAAAAGAAGGAATTGTTGAAGAATTAGTCACACACAATAAAGGAAAAGATGGGTAAGTGTTTAAAATATTTTATATATTTGTAAACATTTAAAAATATAGTTTAATGGGTAATACTTTTGTTTAGGTACTTAGAAAAGCAAGACTTTTTAGAACGGACAGATTTACGACAATTTGAATTGGAAAAAGCAATGAGAGCTGCCAATAGGTCACACAGAAGTTAAATATAGTATCATTAATTTTATATTATATTAATGCTCTCTAATTATTTAAATAATTGGTTTTAAACTTATAAATTGTATTAAATTTAAATTATTAAACTTTTTTTAAGTAAATTAATATTATTTAATTTTTTATGACACTAGGTATTTAAAAATGCAATGACTGTATTTATAAATTAGTTTATTATATACAAACAACTGAATTGAAAAAAATATTGTAGACTATTTGAAGACAATTGTTACATAATAAATAGCTAGACTTAATACATTTATGATTTTTTTGATTAAGTATTCATAATAATTATTTTTAATGAATAATATATACTGATATGTGTGGACATTTAATATATTATATATATATATATATATAGTTTTTAATTGAAATTCCATGTCAATGATAATATAAATTAGTATTTATAATTATTAATGTTTCCTAATTTAAAAAAATATTACCTCTTTGAGCTTGTAAATTGAAAATGTAGACACTTCATTTCTAGCTATCACTAGATATTGTTTGAAGAAACCAATAATTAAAATTTAATCTAACAATAAATTGATTTGGTTTTGGAGTCACATGGATTTTTCGAATTATATTTATCAATGAGACTAATTTATTCGGCTTTTTGGTAAAAAATAAATGTAACTCTTCAAAACACTGTTTATACTGTGGATTTAGAGCAGCTGTAATGTCAGTCATATATCTGCAATAGTTTTCGCACATATCTAAAATTCTATTAAAGCCCAAGTAAATTTCTTCCATGAACAAAAATGAATCCCTCATGATATTTGTCTGGAATATATCGTGTATGTGCTTGATTGATTGAAAATCATTGGCATTGGTTAATTTCTCCAAGAGAAGAAAATATTCATCTTCGATGACATCCATCTGAAGATAACTATAAAGAGTATCTATTAAAAACGATAATTTGGTTTTCAGCTGGACATTATGAGCATTTATTTCATAAGATTTTGATTTTTTTTCAATCCATATTGTATGCAAATTGGTTTGCACTCTTTTAATTCTTGATAAAAATGCAAACAATTTTGAATAGTTTTCTTGAACAGAGCTAGTAAATATAAATTGTAATGGCCATTTGGTTTCAAAAGTGACTTTAATTTTTGTCCATGTTGTTTCATCAGCTTCTTCATTTTCTAATGAACTGAAACCAAACAATTGATTCACAGATTTGTGAATTTTGATATCCTGAGCTGTATTAATAAATGCCACCTTAACAGCATGTAAACTGTGTTCAGATTTCAGTGATAAACTGCACATTTTATTTAAAAAATGCTTATAAAACTCTCCATTACCCAGCAAATAAAAATCTCTTACCAATTTCATATGATAGCCAAAACTATCATTATTAAATGATGCTTTTAACATATATTCATCTACAACATCATAAAACTTGTCAATTACTTGAACAAATTCATTTTTAGTAAATAAAGGCACATTTACTAAATTAAACAAATCAGAGAACAGTTCATCTTTTTTGTGCCCATATAACTGTATAGAAATATCCTTGTAGTTTATCAATGATGATTGGTCATTTGAATGTTGTAAACTTTTAATTACATCGCCAATTCTTGTTATTTTGCTTGCAGTTGAAAGAGGAACAAAAGATGGCATTAAACTTGGTAATAAAGAAAACTGTTTAAATTCTTTTTTGCTTTTAGAATATTTGGATTCAATAAAGAACTCACGATGAGGATCAAAAATCACTCCGCGTGCGAAAAACGTGTTCAACTGCGATATTAACACCTATAATAAATTAAATATCATAAAAAAAAGATAAAACGATAAAGCAGACAAAATTAATTACATCTTAATTAAATTATAATTTTTATTTAAAAATATTAAATACTAGCTAATATAAATAGTACTACATAAATCATCCTAGTTCTTTGACTTCACTTAAGTGTTCAACTGTGTGATATGTAAGCCTTCATCACAAAATTTGTTCTCTTCCTATTATTTCTTACAAATTATAATCAAAATCTATTTAATCAAACAATTTTTTTCAGTATGCTATAAAGTTAAACTGTCCTGTCTCCATTAATTAAAAGCAAGTGTCCCACAGGATAGTGTAATACTAATACCCTACCTCATTTTGGTTATCTTTACTGGCATCACCTCAATTCTCAACTAATGTTTACCTAATTTAAATCTTGAGTTTCTTCAAACTCACCTTAAGAAGTTACAAAACTGGTACACTTAGTCAATATAATCTAACCCTATAATTTCAGGTAATAATGAAATGATTCCTCAACAAATAGTTAACAGATACCTAGTATTTACCTTGAAAAAAGAGGCTAGATACTTCATTCAACCAGGACTGTTAAAGGGTATACGGTGGTAGACGCTTTATACCTTCTGATCATTAAGAAGAAACACTGTATAACTTTTAGTCATAAATGTTATGGACATTACACTTATATCTAATGATTCCAATGATGTTTATAAGTTATTGTATTCCTTCTGCTTTTTTTATGACTTCAGCACTGAATTCAACCATACAAAAACATAATCTCTAAGCAATCAGCATATTAATTAAGATGTCACGAATTATAACACTTTAAATCATCTGTACATGAATAACTCGCCCGGAGCATAAAGATGACCAGCAGTAAACAACTATGGCAGCCAAAATATCAAACATATGACCTTTTATTTCTAACATCCAACTCATGGCTTAAGATACTCATATCCATTGTCTCTGCCTAACAAATGCATGACATACCAAATTTTACGTTTTGAATAATCTATTTAATCCCCTGCAAATCAAGTTCTGTCCAAGTATCATAATGAGAAAAAAAAATGAAAAATGATACATACCCAAGTATTTGATAAATTAGATATGTAGAAAAATATTTCTATAGTTATAAATGTATAATATAACTATAATATTACCTGTAAACATTGGTTGAATATGAGCAATAATTGATTTTTACTATCCAAAAATTCCATACAGAGTACTTCGTGTATGAGATTCAATATTTGTCCGCCATGTAACTGAGAAAGTTCAATTTGATCTAAAATATTATTAACTGCAACAATCAACGGTTTATGTTGTTCAACTTTCCTCAATGTTTCAGTCAATAAACATTTGTTTTCTTTGTTATTTGACAAATTTTTTTCAATGTCATTTATACAGTTGCGATATGGTTTCAAGGCAATTAACATACCATTGACAAAAGCTTCAAAGTATAAACCTCGTCTGTTTGATTCTGATTCTGTGTAAATATTATGTAATCGGTTAAAGGATACAATAACGGTGTTAAGTTTCTGATATTCTTCAGCCAAATTTAAGAAACACTTCAACAGTTGCTTGTCTTCAGTGTTCAAAATAATATATTCATCATCAGTGAAATTGCTGTCATTGTCAACAATACACTGCAATATTTCAGATTTGTGGCCAAGTAGAGTAAACAAAATATCAGGAATTAAACATTCCATTGTATTTATTATATCTTAAACAGCTTATATAATGATAATTGGTCAATATAATTCAATTAATATTTACAAGTTAGTAGTTTATTTATTATTTAAAGTTAAATGTTTATAAATCATATTGAGGCAATTAAAAACATTTTTATATTTTTAATTAAAATACGGTTATACATTTAAAAAAAACTTATAATATAGCTATAAGTGAAAGTGATAAAATGATAAAAGATTATCAAGAAACAGATTTCAAACGATAACAATCTCAACAAAAGTTTTTTTATTAAAATAGAATATTTATTATTTACAATCTGTAACATAAGTACAGTAAGTCAATATGCAAAAAATAGGATTTCTTTTTTTTTTACAAAATATTTACATAATGGTATAATATTAGGAGGGAGGCTGTCCAGTGACAGCACCCTCATATCAACAAAAGTTAGTCACTTATATAGTTATATAGTGCTTATATTCTGTGCTTCCTCACTTAGTTAATATCTACTTATTTTTATTTACAAGGACGCAGGGAGTAAAAATGAAGATTAGAATCAAATAAGAGTTATATTCTAGAGTAGGAAGTTGCTAGAATATTGATTAATATTTAATGAATAATATAGATTAATGGTAGTTATACGAATTATTATATTAATATCTAATACCTACGTACATATACATAATACATATTATATCTCATTCGGTATTATAACTAATTTAGGGATCCCAGATTTATTTTTTTAAATACGGTACATTTTTTAAAAATCATATCTATATACTTCAATACTTGTAATTTGCATTTGCATTGGTGTTACACTGTTCATTTGGGCAGGGGGCGGGGACTTGTGTTAGCAATTAACATATTTTACATATTAAATTTGAGTCATTTGGCCTAGAAATAACATTTAATTTTACTCAATAATATACTATAAAATAAAGTTAAACACAATATTAAACAGTAGAAACAAATATAAATTATAATTAAAATTAAAAACAAATTTTATGTTGACTTTCCCATAATAACATTTTAACAAAAAATTGAATTTAAACAAAAATTCTTATTATTAATTATTAATGTATAACAAAATATATCAAGGTGACTTTCTTATGATAAATTTATAATAAAAATAAATAAAGAATTAAATAAAAATTTGAATAATGTAGTAACATTTGGTTTTACTCATTTGTATACATTATTAATTTATAAAATAATATATTAGGTGACTTTCCTCTGATAAAATTATTATAAAAAAAGGCGGGTAAGTCGTGGATGTCGCTCTGTTGTACAGTAGKTTACAAGTGGGTTACTGTAATGGATGGAATTAAATTTGAATCCAATGATATTATAATATCATTGTATACGAAAACCGATTCTGAAGTGAAGACGGATTATCTGTCTAGGATATATTATAGATTATTAAAAATTTTCAAATCTTAGTTTTAAAAAGAAAATTTTTTATGAATTTCTAGTTTGAAATAATTTGCGAATTTTCGTAATTTTCATGATTTTTACGTATGTTGTCAAAATTCAAACTTTGAATGCTTGTAAAAAAAATTGTGACTACGCATTTCTTTTATTCTTCAATTGCTATTGTAAAAATATGATAGGCGCCATGTATTAAATTTTCAAATCTTAGATATAAAAGGAAAATTTTTTATGAATTTCTAGCTTAAAATAATAGCATTTAAATTCAAACTTTGAATCCTTGTAATAAAAAAATTGTGGCTATGAATTTATTTTATTTTTTAACTGCTATTGTAACAATATGTTTAGAGCCTTGTATTAAATTTTCAAGCTTTTCTACCAAACAAATAAATTTTTATCGATATTTATTGAAAAAAAAACTAAATATTTTGAAAATTTTATCAAATATAGAAAATGCCTATATAAACATTCAGTAAAAATTTCAAGTATCTGCGGTCATTTGTTTTAGACTTTTA